GAAAGAAGGAGCAAAAAATTAATACCACACCAGAGCCCCCGCCAACCATCCACCTGTGATGTCCGGCTGACAGCGAAAGGGTTAAGGATTAAGACGATTGCGTCATGACAACTCCGCCCTGGGCGGTGAGACTGTGGGGAAAGGCGGGTGGCGAGGTGTGAAAGTGTAACCATTGAATTTTTTATACTTATGACGCAATATTGTGGTACAGTCTATTGAAATATTGGGGACCTGGACGGAGGGCTTGAACTTTAAAAAATACACAAAGGCGAATGACCAGTTCGTTTACTCCTCCCCGTCCCTCCCCTCCTCCCCCCTCCCCCCCTTTCTCCTTTAAACCGGACATGAGGTAGACACGCAGGGATTACACTCGTAGATTAGGACAAAGAAAAAATTAAAATCCTTCTGCACAAAGCCTGGACCGGTCAGCAAGTCGCAGATAGCGTCAGTTTCGAGGCTGACCGTTGTAGAGTTCGCATCTTTACGTCTTTTGCTACATTTTGAGAGTTTGGATTTCTTGCGTGCAGAAACATCTGAGAAAGATTTCTGCTGATCTTTCAGTTCCCGACTCTTCGCACGACATCAAAACCACCAGCACCTCGCCTGTCTATATTCGTGTCCTGTTTTTCCACATCTCCGCCGCCGTCTGCCCCAGTCCTGGGTCAAGTCTTCGTCTGCCAACATGTTGCGGACACCGGCATTTGCACATTTAGTGGAGATTTTGGAGTTACGAACGAGAGAGCTGGAGGAGGGGATAGGGAGTCAAGCCCTTGACTCTGGCAGTAACAATGACGACAGTGTTCTCTGTTCGTCAAAGCTGGACAAATCTGGCGGTGACAGTGTGATTCATACATCAACTGCCGAGATAGCCAGTAATGGGGCAGTGTCTCATACAACGGATATAGCCAGTAATGGGACAGTGGTTCCCAAAACGAACACGGACAAGAACTTGACGCCCACGGAAACAGCACCTTCCTCCAATCCCAGGAAACGGAGACGTCAACGAAAGCACGGAGATGCTAAACGACACGTCACGTCTGAGGTGTATACTGGCGGTGTGTTCCCTGCACCCAACACAGGTGTGGCCTTATGTGACGTCACGTCTCCTACCACAGATACAAACAACACAGGTGTAGCCTCGGAAACACCCCCCACCAACCCAAGAAAAGGAAAGCAGAGACAAAGAAAGCGACGCACGAATGGCGGGAAGTTCTTTGAGCTGTACGAGGCGACTGGAGAGCCACTGGGTGACGGGTCCTTCGGTACAGTGTCCACCTACAGACACAAGGAAACAGGGCGGGAACACGCCGTGAAGGTCATCAAGAACTGTCGGGGGGAGACACTCCAGTTAGTCATGAGCGAGATCGAGATCTGTCAGAGGTACCGAAACTGCGACAACATCC